TTAGTTTTTTTCCTTAATAAGCTCTTTGTTAGTGTATGTATATTTTTTTTCTCTCTAGTGTCTATATGGAAACAAATGAAAAGGCTAAATAGTGTATATTGTATTTGGTGTTATGATATTAAAAGCATGTGCTTGTAACAACTTGTAAGCGAAACACCTTGTTATGATTTTCTCAAAGTACACTTCTAAAATAATATGTATTAATCACTTCTAAAATCTCACATTTTAACAAAGTTTTACATTAAATCCCTTACTACATCAATGTTATATGTGAAAATTTATAATAAAAAAGTCTTATTTATTTTACGTAATCACATTCATTTCTGAAAAATATATATTCCTAAAAATATGCCTAAAGTCATGGACGATAAATAACTACTTTTTATTTTTTTTATTTTAAAAAATAACCATTACAGCAATTATAAAGTTATGGATGATAAATAATTATCTTTTATTTTTTTATTTTAAAATTATTAAAATATCCTTGGATTTAAAGTATGTTTTTTTAATGGGAATTTTTTTTAACTTAAAATTTGGTACACTTTGCTAAAATATACCAACTAAAAAAAGACTTTATATAAATTAGCAAACCACATATATATTAACAAGCTCATTGAGTTTAATTCAAGTAAATATTTGAATTAAAATTTTGAGACGGTTAAAGTAAATTGTAAATTTAATTAAAATTTATCTTTACTTATATATTATAATTTTGTTGAACTTTTAGTTATTACGAGATTTTAACATTTTGAATCATAACACTCGTCAAACTACGGTTGAAAGTGTAAATGTATAAAAGAGGAAAAAGAGAGGGAATTTAAGGATGCAAATAAGGTTCTACAATTCTAATTATTTATAAGATAAGGATTTAAGTTGAATCACTGGTAATTAGGAGGGGTGTTGCTCCCTCCACCACCACACATTTCTCCCTCCACCTCCCCTTTACTATTTTGCCCCTAAGTAAAATTTTATTTTTAGGGTTATTATTTTTTAATTTTACTCATTAACAATCTATTTCACTAATAACCTATTCTAGTCCCGTACATCAGTAAAATACTTTTCTTTCATTTTAACATTATACTTCTTTCTCTCTTTCGTCGTTGTGAGATACTACAAGTTGCAAAGGTTGGTGGTGGTGGAAAGAATTATCAAGCAGTCTCCATCTCGTGGTGCAGTGCTTGTCGTGCTTCCTCTAGGTGCGTATTCGAATAAACCTTGAAAACAAACCCTAAAATAAAAAACGTAACCTTTAAACGGAGGTCACATCCTTCAACGGATGTCAACATCCGTTTAAGGTAAAACGGATAAACGGATGTTGACATCCGTTGAAGGATGTCACCTCCGTTTAAAGGTTACATTTTTTATTTTCGGGTTTGTTTTATTAGGGGACATTCGTTGAAGGATGTCACGGTCGTTGATGTATACTTCCTCACGTTGGTCGACGCTCTGGACGCTCCTCCACACCATGACGGCGACACTCCTTCGCACTATGGCGACAATGGAAGCTTTCAAACAAAAAAAAAAACTCGGAAGAAAAAGGAATGTAAGCGCGGGAGGTGGGGAGGTGAAACGGAAATGGGAAAAGGGAAAGAAAGTTCCGTGGATGGGTGCTGGGAAAGTAAAATTAAGGTTTCAAATTATTTAAAATAGAGTAAAAGTAAAAATCTTTTTAACTTAAAAATATAATTATATTTAAAATAATGTGGGGAGTGGAAAAAGTATAAGGTGGTGGTGGAAGGAGCAACGTCCATTACGAGGTTATAGAGCATAATTGCAAAGTAAGTTAACCCATTGCCGTGACGGTCAAGGGGAATTACTATTACTCACATTTTTCTTGGCAGTTTCTTTCTGCACCTTTATAAATTTCCTCTTGTATTTTTATATAAAATAATTCATCTTTACTTTTAGATTGTATTATCTAAAAACTATTTTCGGAAATAAGAAATAATTTTCAAATTATATAATTCATAAGTCAAATGACTTTCAGAATAGTCTAATCCAAAAAAAAAAGATTAATCCTTTTTTAACTTTCGAAAGTCAATTACTTTTAAATTATACAATCCAAAAAAAATCAAATTATACAAATTAAAAATAATTTTTATTTCCAGATTACAAAGGACAAAAATGGAATGTTATTATATGGAATGCAGGGAAAAAATTATGAGAAGCCGCCATTTTCTTGAACGAACTCTCCTTGACGCTACTGCGAAGATGCAGGGAAGTTTTCAAACCTATATAATAAGCTTTTCCTTTTCTTTTTCCTCCCCACTGCAGAATATTTTCTGAACAATTCATTCAATTTCATTTTTCCAAAGTGATGGCAACAAAGACAGCAAGGGTGATAAGTTCTTGTCTGTCATAAGTACAATATTTTGTTTTATTGACCAATAATGAATCACGCATGGGACAAAGATTTTTTTAACTTCTGAGCTATGTTGCTGTTACATTGAATGTGTGGAGTTATATTTGATGCCACATTGCAGGAATTTTACAATATAAAATCTATATCTATTTACGTAAATGTTGGTAGAGAACTAAACTGGAAATGAAAATCTCATATGGGATAGAATTAAACAAAAAAATAAATAAAGCAAAGAAAATACCTACATATTTATTTCTTTATAGTTTTGAATTAAAGTAAGACATAATCTCTTATCGGTAAGGTATACTAAAATAATAAAAGCAAAGAAATTAGTTAGAAAACGTAGAAAACTACACCGCCCGTGTTTATCTTCTTCTCACGCCTATCTTTCACTAAGCCTTCCTCCATCGTCCAATTTCTCTCAAATTTTTCTTCTATCTTCGTCTATTCAAATTTTGATCTTGCCATAATTAAAGAGATAAAGAGCATTTTGAACTGATTTGATTTTCAAAGCATAGTAAAATTTTATTTACTTTATTGAATTCTTCTTCTCTAATTTTGGTGTGTTTTGGTCACCAATTTTGTATAAACATTAAGAAATTTTAATTTACCTTATACTGAATCTTTTTCTTGTTTACATATTTTGCACTAGGCATCTTAATGGGGATAAACTCAAATTATATTGAGTTGATGAACCATAGACTTGAAGAAAACTATATTAAATAAGAGAAGCTAGCAGAAATACTAGAATACTAGTTATTCAAATTTATGGTGATAATGATAAGATGGTGATAAATGCCTTTGATATTGAACTTTGTTTATAAAAGTAATTTTAATGTTGTGATGTGTATTGTTTTGATAAGAAATGGGATGGGATAAATGTTTGGATATGAATATAATGTATTAAATTCATCAATTAGTACTATCTAAGCATAATTTGAATTAAAAAAGACTCATTTTGGTACAAGAAAGAGGAAAAATGACTGAAATAGATCCTATAGATCAATGATACCCTTAAATCAAATGTTGAATTTTCCCAAAGGTGTTAGGCACCAAAGAATAATTAAAATGACCTTTAGGGTTTTGGACTATTAGGTGAAAGCTAGATGTCAATGGGCATGCTTAGTCCATTGCGAGAGAGGTACATGTCATTGGGTACCAACTGGAACTTCAGTTTCAAGGAGCTCAAAACTTTATCTTCGTTGGGTGGGTCATTCCCTTGTTGGGGGAGCTTTTTCCAATGTTCAACGAGCCAACATTCATTTGTTACAGTTGAGGCCTTTACCTAAGCGAATAGAATTTTGACTAGACAAATTCCAAAATATGCTTAATTCATTGAGTCAGACAAATATTGGTTGAACGATTAAATGTTTTATAAAATTTAAAAATTTAAGTTTTTAAATGTTATAATAATTATATCTTTTACTGTTTTGATATATGTGATTGGAAATTATAATTTAGTATTATGTTAATGTAATACAAAATAAATGATGAATCATTTAAATTGAAATGTGATTTATGATGTGATAATTTTGGATTGATGTAAGATACGTATGTATGGCATGTGTGATGATTTAAATTCATTTCAGAATGTGATGATCTTTTGTGAAAGTGTGAAAATAAATGGTTTAAGGTTTTGAAATAAAAAAGGTGAGTGTCTGGCTGAGTAAAGCAAGAGTGTTAGCCATAATCTACTATTTTGTGTGGGTGATGGGCTAAGTAGAATGAGGATTTTAGTCATAATCTACTATTTTGTGTGGATGAAGTGAATGTAATGACTTCTAAAAGAATGCTATGTGGATATGATGTTAAGTAGTGTATCAAAAGGGTTTCCATATAAAGACTATCATGATTGTTAATATCAGATTCCAATAAGAAAAATGTCTAGTATTGAAAGTCGAAAAAAGTTCCTACAATCTGGAACTTCGATATGAAAACAGATCGCAAATGTCAATACCTTAGTCATAATTGTGATGGATTGTGATCTTATTATCTGAATTTATAGTTATAGCTCCTAAGAAACATGAGTGAGATATGACTGGTGCATAGTCTTTGAATTCGTTCAATGGTCTTCCAGAAACATAGTCAAATGAAAATGTTTTGATTTAGCCAAGAGGGCTATGATATAATGATTGAGCTATAAGAACTGTCAAAAAAAGATGTGTTGTGTGATAGACATTTAATTTATGATGTAAATTGTTGGTCTTGAGCTAATAATGTTATTGTTTTATGTGGTATTATATAATTTTCACTAACTTACCCTTTGTTTATGTTGTGATTTTTCCACCAATAATAATTGTATGTTATGCCTTAACAGAAGACCCTACAGGTGATAGTGAGAAGCAAGGGTGAAGGTTGCAGAGTTTCTTTTCCTTTTTTTTTTCTTTTTGGAAAGGTAAATAAAATATATGTGTGTAATTATACACCTTTGTATATGGTAGAACCTCTTAGACATATTAAGTTAGGTTCTTTTTGAAAAGCTTTCATATAGAGTGCACATGTGTGTATATTATATATGTACTTAGTACTGTCTATTACTGTTTATGTTCTTTTTGTGAACCAAGGTAACATAAGAAATGCATTTATGAATTTGAACAAAATTTAACAATAAAATAGAAGCAAATTGCCACTGTAAACATGAACTGCAGAGGAAAATACAAGTCCAATAAAGTTCAACTAGATGCATAGTAGAGAGTACCCTCTCTACTATAGACTAAACTTCTAGATGCACCTGCCTCTGATATGAACAAATCCCCCAATTACCATTCTAATATAATCAGTCAACAATAAAGTATGTGAGATCTAATAACTAGTTTAGTCAAGTTTGGAGACGTCTAATTCACTGAATTAAGTCCCTCACAGAACCTATCCAAGCCATCAAAGCTAAACCAATCTTTTTTCATCTGCAGAATTTCAAGTTTCAAGGTAAATGTCAAACATAACTGAATGAAAATGCATATTTTAATAATACATTTTAAGAACAGAAAATGGATAGCTTACAAAGTAAGGGTATCCCTCCATGCTGAAGTTATCAGGAGCATGCTCCAAAAACAAATTAATGAAATAGAGCACGAAAAATCCACATTCATTACCATCTCTTTGTTGTGGCACCTACAGTGTTTTTTCTTTTATCATTGGTTATTTGGTTACACTTGGGCTGAAAATCATAGGAAGGGTGATAATTACCTCAGGCACCAAAAATGGAATTTGGGATACAATTCGTTTTGTCTCAGGCCGGTCCATTGATTCATAAATATCTAGTACAAATCTGAAAATGAAGTCAACAGCTTGCTTGCTTATCAATATTTCAACTGGGCAATGAGTAGATATTGTTGAGTAATAACACACCTTCTGATCTCAGGTTCAAGTCGCCTTGGATTGGCCATTTCAAGTGAATCCAGCAACAACATGCACCGTGATCTAGAAGTTGATTGCGAGCTCTCACCAAAATGGCAGAGGATCAAAAGGCTCCAGTGACCCCTAGAACAATTGGGATTTCAAAGTATGCATTCTATGAATTAACATTTAACAGATAAAGAAAAGAAATTTTGGTTAGAAAGAAAATTGAGTGCATTTACCAGCAGACTATGGGAACAAAAACATATGCCTTGGAGAAAATAGGTTCTTTTTTAATCCAAGTCAGCACCTTATCCTTAGATGAAGAAGTCCTGTAAAGGCTAAACCATAAGCTGTCAAAGCACATAAACTGTGCCTTCCTGTCTTCTGGGAAAATTTTCCACATCTTCCTGCCAGAAAATTTATATTACAAACAAGGCCTCAATTTTGGAGTTGCTCCATTGAATAAAAAATCATTATTAGACTGCCACTCACATCAAGAAAGTATAAAACATTCCACTGTCTAGCTTTTCCTTGGGTCTAGAAAATGCTTCCTTGGGTCTAGAGGGTGCTTCCTTTGGTCTAGAGTGCACTTTGTTGGGTCTAGAAAGTGCTTTCTTGCCATTAAATTTTCTCTTCCGTTTTGTCCGCAATCGCTGGGGAACATTGCTCCAATCAAAGGGAAATGGCGAAGAACTAATTTCCATCACCTAAGGCTTCAATTTTTCTTTCTTTGAGGAGTCGAAGACTGTCTTGTTTCTATATCCTTAGTAGATTTTCTTTGTTGTTTCACATACACTACTCTCATGAAGAATAATGACAGACAGAATCAACTTCTCCATTTGGTTCTCAAAGCATGTCAGCTTTCTAAACACCAACAAACATATCACACATTATATTAATACAAAAATAGTTAAAAAAAGAAGAATAAAACTAACCTGGAAATGCAAGAAAACGCAAACTAATCAAGGAAACCTAGAAATCACCCGCATCAATTAGGCCAGATACATACCTAATAAACAAATTCACATGTTCATTAAACTACTGAGGTTGTACAGAAACATCACACACAAACTAATTATACCTCTGCTCAAGCAATTTTTTTGTACAGGTATTAGGGCACAACTATTATACTAAGATTCAGTGTTTTGTCCGCAAACAAACTGATCATGTGTGTGGCTGACAACTATCATAATACAAAAAAGTAACATTATTTGGTCAAAATTTGGGGAAAAATAGAAACCCTCAAAATGAAGCTTACTACACTTTCTTTCATCACTGTTACTAAAATTGTATATCAACTTATTCTTCATTTAATAGAAATAAAGAGTGTGATTTTGCAGTGAATCAGGTTGTGATGGTTTTAGTTTCAAAAGTGTTGTTTCCATTTGAAGAGTTACAGAACAGAAAGGATTTATCACATAACAATGATATAAACATTAAAAAGATAAAACAAATAGATACTAACCAGGAAGCAGAGGATGCTCTCAACACTTTAAGAGTGTTCAGTTGGAACAATCTGCTGATGGCATAAACACGATTGAACCCAATAATGGTTCTAGTTTTCGATAAAAGTGCTATGGTTTAATCTCTAATTCTTATGAAAACTTCATAAGATTTTTAATTTTTATTTGATTCAATATCGTGTTTTAATTTTTTAAAACGATCTAGTTATATATTTTTATTAAATAGATGTTAGTTAAAATTTATATATTAAATCATTTTATTTTAAAAGTTTAAATTTTTAAATTAGGTAAAATGATTTGATATATAAATTTTAAAAAATATCTAACTTTACTTTAACATAAATAAATTAATTAAATCATTTTTAAAATTAATAAACTAAATTAAATTAAATTAGAGGTATAATTTAATTGAATTTTTTTATAAGAATTAAAGAAAAAAATAATTTTAGTATTAATTACTTTTTTTATTGTAATTTAAAAATCTTTTTCTTCCTCCTCATGATGTTTACAAATACTTTCTAGAGTTGTTATACTCTAGTTTTAATTAGTGTTGATTTTAATGAATGGATTATTTTAATGAATGGTTTGGAGAGCAAATAAAATTTAAGTAGAAGACACAAAACTAAAATCAATTATGGTATACAAAATAGAGTAAAACAATGCTAGCAAATTGTTGTAGATTTTTCATATAGTAGTTTAACTCTTACAAGTTACAAAACAAAAATGTCAAAAAAATATAAAAATTTTTATCTACATTGCTTAAAGAAAGATGTTTTTTTTTTTTCAATACTTTTAATGAAAGGGGCTGTTTTTGCATGTTTTCCATAAATATATGCAGCTTTGAAAAAACGGAAGGCCTATTTTTTATTTTAAATAATTTTATTAAATTGTAATTTATCTATTTTTGTTTTCTTAGTGTGGATATTTTTTGTAATTAATCTTTGTTTATTATTTCAATATATTTTCTGCATATAATTAGTCTTGCATTTCAATATATTTTCTGCACATAATTAATCTTATACATTTTTGTAATTTATAATTTACTTTTTTTTAATAATATTTATGTATTAATAACAATTTATAAAAAAATTAAATTTTATATCTATTAATTTATAATCTTGAGTTTATTTCTTAAAATTTATACTTTTTTCTAATTCATTTTTATCTTTTTGTGAATTATTCTTAAAGTAATTTATTCTTTGTCAATATATAATTATAATGTTATATAATTATAATATCATAATATTACATAACAAATCTAATTTAATATTTTCTTTATCGACAATTCAATATATATTTATCTTTATTTTTATATATAAACAAAAATATGGTTCAAAGTATGGCTGTTTACATTTTTATATTAGGTGTGTTTTTTTCAGCTCATTTTATGTATTTTTAAACCGCCACTGGTTTTATGGTTAAAATAATAGTTTTAATCATGTAATACTTTTATAAAAATTTTCATAAATTTAATAATTTAAATGTATTTGTAATGAAAATGTATAGGTAATACTTCAATTGAGTAATAAAATAAAAGAATGATATGTTACATTTATATTGTCTTGTAAAACAAAATAACTTTAAATCAATCCCAATGTTATTTTCTATCCTCTCTCGAGTCAATCACGTCCCTAGAATATCTGTAACATTATCTGCTCACGTATAACACATTATACGATCATCGCCATAATTTCATTCACAAATACACAAACAGAAACATGTATGGGATAAGCTATCGATAAAACAATCATAACAACAAGATATATACATACTAATTATATCAACCATAATCAAACACATAACAAGATACACATCTTCTAATTATACCAACCATAATCAAACACACAACAAGATACATACCTTCTGATTATATCAAACATAATCAAACAACCCATACATAGTAGTAATAACAATAGGATTCCTAATCCTCTAACATTAACAATTCAATCATACTGAATTACTCGATTCTCAATCTCTGATCCTTGAACTTCGATCATCAATCCTTGATATCTAACCCTTGATGTCATCACTAACAACTCACACATAAATCTTTGATCTATCCATTCATTAGCACTCATGCTAACTATTTATTATAACCATTATAGTAGCACCACTATCAACATAACATAATCTGGAGCATCTAAAGTACCATGATCATCATCATAGATACACCACCATCATGACTATCCCAATCATGAACAACACCATGAGCATCACCATACTATAATACAATAGTGGAAAGTTCATCCCACTCATGTACCCTACCTCACCGACTGTAGTCGCTCCTACAATCCACCTGTAGCCTCTCCTACAGGACATCTGTAGTCTCCCCTATAGATCATCTCCTTTCAATGCACACAAGACAAAAGGAAGCACTTATCCACAGATAGAACCAGAATTTACGAGGTACAACAAGTAGACTTACCATCCACTCTCATGCTCATCAATCACATACTCAGGTACATCTCAACACTCACTCATGTTCCACTCTCAACCACAAGTCAAACTGACCCTAAACATAACCACTAATCTCAACCTTTGATTATCATCATGTTCCACAACTCCTTAGGCTTTGTTCGTGTCCATTCTTCATCAAATTCGTCATTTTTCACCAAAATGCATTGTGATAATCGATTATTACTTAAGATAACCGATTATCTTAGTGAAATTAACCCAAAAACATCACACAGGAAGGGATAATCGATTATCATCCTAGATAGTTAGATTATTCCCAAAACCACACTCAAAATCAACGTGTAAATAATCGATTATAACTAATTATAATCGATTATTGTCGAATCGAAACATATTCTGGACATGATTCAAGCACTCAAACATACATACATTAATCCTAGATCACGTGGAAACATAGTTAACACATCATACATGCATTCAAGCATCACATACCCATGTAAACATACTCAAACACATATAATACATCACTTGAATCACCAGATCCAATCATTGACATGTTATACCCCAATAATAGGGTGCAAAAGAGTCTGTTTTCTCCCAAATTAGACCTCCAATGGACAATCCAAATGGTCTAATAAAGAACCATACGTATGGAACCCACTGTCCAAAAATCAACCCGATCCAACGGTGAACGACTTCACAACAACGAAAACACCAGTGTAGATTTTATGAAATTCTCCAAAATAGAGCTTCTAATGCGAGGCTGTTTTCTTCCAAACTAGACCTCCGATTGACAATCCGAACAGTACGACTGAAGAACCATACGTCTGGAACCCATTGTCCAAAAATGAGCCTGATTTAACGGTGAACAACTTCACAACGATGAAAACACCAGTGCAGGTTTTATATTATTCAAGAATGACTTCTTATCTTCCTTTCTGAAGTAACTTAGAACAGCCCAAGGCCTGAAGTAACTTCCTACCTTGGGTAAAATACTAGTACACACTAGTTTCCAAGATCAGGCAAACGTACCCCATTTGAAGTAGTTTATGGGAGAGGCCATCCATCCCTAACACAATTCGTGTTTAGGGAAACAACAATGGAGGCAGTGGCCCAATAGTTGTAGAGCTGAGATGAGACCCTCAAACAACTACGCTATCACCTATTAAGACGCAAAAGTAATTGGTGAAATTTGCCAACAAAAAACACAAGTCGTCGACAATAAAGGTAGAATATTAGGTTTATTTAAATATTAGACCTTATAGATAAGTGTTAATGTCACCCAGACTACATCCAAAACTCTCAGCCAAATACTATGGCCCCTTCCAAGTGCTCTAACAAATGGGATCAATGGCTTTCTACCTCCAGTTGCCAAAGACAACACATATTCATCCAGTCTTCCATGTGTCTCAACTCAAAGTAGCGGTGGAAACTCATGAAGTAAAGAAAGACCTGCAAAAAGACTTGCACGACAGAGAGGCAATTTGGTTTCCTATCAAGGTGCTAGATAGGAGGACCAGTCAACAACAAGGAGAACAAAGGCAATTTGGTTTCCTACCAAGGTGCTAGATAGGAGGACCAATCAACAACAAGGAGAACAGTACAACATGTTCTCATTGAGTGGCAAGAAGGGATATCAGCTAACGCTACATAAGAAGAGAAGACTATACGGGATCAATTCCCAAAATTTTACTTTGAAAACAAGGTTGTTTAGATCGCAAAAGGTAATGATAGGACCATGAGGATCTATTTTAGGAGGGGATTAAAAAACAGAACATAGACTATTATGAGGTTTGGGGATTATAGGTGGTTAGGTTGTTAGGTTGTTATAGTGTCCCTTGGAGGGAAGGCCATATAAAGGAGGAAAATGTCTTGGGAAGGTTGTAATTGAGTAAAGAAAGACAGCGTCTGTTACATCGTGTGAGAAGGGAAGTTTTGTCCCTTGGCTATTTTCGAACATCGATATTGTTTTGGAATAATAAGACTCTTTTCCAGAGTTGAGTTTGTTTGCCTGTTGTGTTTCAGAACCAAACCAGTACAATCTGGGTTTCTTGTCACCAAGAAACCTAACAAAATAATGATTAAAAAGCAGCAAGTAGACAAGCAACAAAACACATTAGTGGAAATTGGTTCATTTACTTTTGCTTATTATAGTAGCTAAATATGATTTTTTTTTCTACATATTTGAATCATTAAAAATGTTTTCTTCACTTAGGGTGTCGAAGCTCTCAAATATATATGGTGGCATCTTTCTCTAAGAATTTTATGCCATCTTCACTCATGAAAAGGTGAATGCGGTTTCGTCTGTATAAGTTGATGACTAATTTCTCCAACATTATCATGGAATGGAAATCTAATCATCCTCCAGCTTGTTTTCTTGTCCGCAAAAATATACTCAGGATGTCATGCAAGCTCCACATGATGTGAACGAAACACGCTTCAGTTGGATAGGAATATAGAGTGCGTTGCAGTAGTATTTTAATTTCTCACGCTCAACCTCCCTTGCTATTCCATTTCGTGCACAAACTAACAGCCATGCATGCATTTTCAGCATCAGATGAGACTCGTCTTACTAGAATGCTCTATGAACATTTTGTCTCCTATACTTCGTAAGTCAACACTTGATCTGGTTGCTTACATACACATTGTTTGTGGAGGTAATCCGACTTCTTGATCATCTAAAAACGGTGCATTATGACTTGC